TTCTTGGATGAAATGAGAAATCGCACAAGCGGAACGATTTTTCAACGAAGGCGCTCGATTGAGACCCCCCGACTGAGTAAAGATTTCGTTTTCTTTGCCGCGCGATTTTACGCCGCGCTTGTTTGTCAAATTGTAATATTTGCCGAACTGTGTAACGGGTCGTGGGAAGCAATCTTATTTTTGCAAATGCGCTATTTTTAGAGGCGACTGCGTATACTCTTTGTAATATCGTCGATTGGCCGTCACGCGCGTATCCCTCATCGTGCACAGCAAAAAAAGTGCAGGGATCAAGTAAACGTAATTACCTCTTTTTCAGCCTCTCAAAACAAATAATATTTTTATCAATTTAAGTGTGTTTTAACAGTTTGTAGTAAATACTTACTTAAACGCAATAATACGTCAATTTGTAGATGAATTACTACATATAAATGTAAAATCGTTCTAAATTTAAGAGAGTATCTATTAAAATTACGTAATGTTTCATTTCCATTGAAGAAACCTAATGATTTTAAATTTCGAATTTTTGTAAATAATAATAGTATTAATAATATTAACAATAATTATAATAATTATAATAATTAATTAATAATATTAATAATATTAATAATAATATTGTTAAGTTGAGTACGTTAAGTTAAGTACGTGCAATTATTTTCTTTACGGGAAGAAGTAAACATGGCAGGTTGTAACCGAACATACGTTAATTTCTCTAAACAAATTTTTTATCCTTGGAAAGAAACCGAAAAATACCGTTTTTTCCTGAATCTGCAAAACTATAGGTAGCATTTTTCTTTCAGTGTGTATTTTATGCGAGAAAGACGAACTATGAATTATCTCTCTCTTTCTCTCTCTCTCTCTCTCTCTCTTTCCGCGGAAACCATCTCAATGCCACTTGTATCGCACTGGCCGGTCATAAAATTCGTCATAGCGTGAGCACACGCACCGGCATACGTGGAATGTAGTTGGGCCACATAGTGGCTTCATGTACCGTGTGCTCGTCAAATACTGATTTTGGCCGTCGGTTTGCGTCATCGACGTGGATGCGCGCGTTCGAGCGTCGCGGCGCGCATGAATGAAAGCGAGGAGAGGAAAGCGTGTACGTGCGCGGGCGTGCGAGCGAACGAACGAGCAGGCGAACGAGCAAGTGAACGAACAGGCGTGCGTTGTTGCGCGTGTGCGTACGTGGGTGGATGTGTATGCGTAGGGCGCTAGGCTTCGGCATTTAAATGGGATTTAAAGTGAGCGAACACAGCCGAAACGGGTTGCGGAGGTCGCGTTTTAACCGTGAACGATCGTGAGAACGATTCGGCGTCGGGTCTCCGATTGTATGCGCCGCCTTTCCGTTGCGTTTTCTGTGTTAACGAAGACCCTCTCTCTCTCTCTTCGGAGGAAAAGAAAGAGAGAGAAAGAGAGAGAGAGAGTTCCCGGTATGCCCGACACGATACCTGCTGGCCGAGAAATTAAACGAGTATTGCTTAGAGATGAACCATTTCAAAGAAATTTAAAAAATCAGAAGAAAATTTAATTTTAAAGCGACATAAATGAGATATCCGTCAATCGTGTAACGAGATTTCTCTCTTTCTCCTGTGCAATTTGTGGTGAACGTTTATCCACATTAATGTTCGTTATACGTTATATGTCGACAATATCCGAAAAGGAAAAATTAGACTACTACTGCGCGTCACTTGAAATTGCCTTCGGAATGTATATCTCAGAATTCTCACGCAGAATCACGCGGAAGACTCGCTCGCGAGAAGCGCTTCCCTAACTCTGTATTTGCCTTAGGCGCTATGACGCAAAGCCCCTGGCACATGTATACTTTCGCACGCTTTATTTTTCATCGACGCGGTATATTTAGGAAAAGCCCCTTTCGTCCGGTTATACTTTCTCGCACGGTGCCGGCGCAAATTCGGACGATCGATTAGCGCTCGCGTGCTTCGCATAATATCGCGGCCGCTCGCCAGGCGCACGTGCTCAATTAAAAGTCGCGCCGAGGTGCCAGCAGTTATGTCAGCGAGGATAGCGAGATAGTCGGCAGTTTCGCGGCTCTTTACATTCCGCGTGCCGATTGTGGCGTCCGGACTGTCGGAAGGAAATATTCTGTTCCCTCGTTCATTCCATCGGCACTACTCAGGGACTAAATGATCCCGCCGTTATCATTTAAGGGGACGCCATACTTGAAGATTTTACCGATAGGATACTGCTTTTTCCAAATTTACGACTTAATGATTGCACACAATTATTTAAATGCTTTTACGTAGCGAAAATGAGCTGGAATGTTGCTCGGTATGTGCGAAAATGATTAAAAATTCAAAATGACATCTCTCTAGCTATCAGTTAGCGTAAATATATAAAGAAATTCTGCATCTTGTACACACTGAATGAATCAATGTTCCAATCCAGAAAATGTCAAAGAACATCTTTATACCTTTTCAATCAAATTCAGAGCCTTAAAATAATGCGAAAAATTTGCAGAAAATATTTTTACACATCTCCGTTAGATCTTACTGATAGATGTGGCAAAACAGAAAGCGCACATTCTTCGCGCTCATTTAAATCGTACTTAAATTTACATAAGATCTACATATGTACGAGGAATACAAATAGAGTAACGTGAAATCATTGTTTATATGATAACATAACATTTTGAGGGTCACCTCTACATTATCGACGCGTGTGAAATTCGTCATCGACCTTGGCATCCCATTAATTATCACGAATTTAATTTCACTCATCGTTTATTAACGCCCGTCGCATCGGTGTATTGTTTCACCATTAGCCACAATTATTGGAAATTAATTTTCACTCGTTCGAATATTTCACAGCCGGTCCCCCGCGCCCACCTCTTTCGAATATTCGTATACTTCATTCTGATTCACGTTCTTTTATTATACGTTCCCATTGGATTCCTACCAACGCGTTAGATAGCTAAACCGCCGAGTCAGACAACGCGCACTCGACATTGAGCTTCATGCGGGCTCGCATGCCGTTGTTCCAATGTATCTCATCGCATCCTCTCGCAATCGCCGCGACGGACTCACACAAAGCTGGATATACACTGAGCGAACAAATAAGGAACGAACAGCGAATGCAACCTTTCGTTATTACAATTTGGAAAAAGTCTGCGTCATAACGAATCCGAAGAGAACTTTTTATGCGGGTTTGCTTATAAAGTGCTTTATCAGAGAATTTATTCGTGCGCATTTAGACGCGATATTCGTCCGGAATACGCTCGTGCCCGCTCCGATTGCGAGATGTACCGTGCGATGATCATTCGATAATATTTGCCTCAGGAACAACGGCGAGATATTATTGCACGTAACACGCGATCCCTCCCGACGACGTCGTTCGCGTGTGCGTCGTTCGCGTTGCCCGCGAATAAATAGTGTGCCCAGGCGTTCTTTTCGACGATGGTGTGCGTTGCAATATGTATCAGCCGCGCAAAACCACCGCTCGAGGGAGAAAAAGAGAGGTAGAGAAGGATACGCGGAAAAAAGGAATTAGCTGTCCATATGATTCAAATGAAATTTAGTTGGCAGGGATAGTTTTTTGCTGTTTGAAAGCAAAAACTAGATACGGGGACAAGAAAAAAATGAGGTAAATTGATTAAATTTCAGTTGTATTACAGAGACAACGAATTTTTACCTGTGGGAGATAGTTTTTTTTAGCTATGGGAGTTAGTTTTTAATTGTGGAAGCTAATTTTTGTTTTCTGTAGAGAGAGAGAGAGAGGGAGAGAACGCGAAGCGACACGCACGGGGCCTGTCGGCAATTTTGCACGTTAGCCTCGAGGACACGCCGCCTTTCTTCTAACGTTGTCGTTGCCGCCGCTATCGTCTAGATCGTATAAGAGAGAAATAATTGCAAAACTCCTCGCGGGGGCTATCAAGGCTGGCGGAATTTTTTCCATCTAACGGAACGCTACGGAACGTGCTGTTCTTCGTCGTAATCGTGGCCGTCGTACGGTTAGTAGATAGGATCAAGGACCGTCCTTGGCATTGATCCTGCGCGCCGATCAGTCTTTTCTTGACGATATCGCGTGATCTTAACAAGGTTCGGTCATTGAGATGATTCCGATTCGTTCGACGGTGTCATATCTGATCACAGCACCGTAGCTGTGCACGCCTGTCCTTTGAACGCCGATGTGTGCGTCTTCCCGCGAATCGACGATTGATTCACGGTGAAACGTATATGTACACATGCGTGAAATCTGCCATGTGCGACACACACCACCAAGCGCTAATGAGCGCCTCTCGGAAGTCAGACTGGTCGACTCCATTTTTGCCTCCATTTTTCAACTTTTTAATTATGAAAAGTTAAGCATAACAATTAAATCATTACATGTACACTTTGGCGTGGAAATTCAGAAATTTAAGGAATTCCGAGAAATTTACAGAAAGTGCAGTGAAACATTTTTCCTTCTGAAGGGCTTATATATACAGGATATCCCAGACCAACAGGGACATTCTTCGTGAGGGTGTAGAACAGATTAAGGTGAACAAAAAGTCCTCGACCATTTTGCAAACAATACGGAAAAATGTCGAGTTATTAATTATTGAAAATTGTCTAAAATCTTAAGAAATGCACGATTTACCACGACGGCCGATTATGTAATAACAAATCAACAATTACCTAACAATAGAATTTTATTTAGACATCGAACATCTAATGGCATATCACTTACGCTTCTTTTCGCGGGCGGTTCACCCGGTAAAATATATTTCCGATCCGAAGACGCTTGTTTGTTATACACATTCGATTCGACTGAGTAGTGGAAAAAAGGATTTACGGAACCGTACGATAGGATACTTAATATACTCGGAATAGCGGAGAGTCGTTAAGCGGCTCCACGACAACTCGAAACTAGCTAGAAAACGCGGTCGTGCCATTTCGAGGTGGTTTCGAAACGAGATATACCGCAAACGTCTCTTAACAAGCGATATCTGTCAACGTCTCGCTTAATTAATAAGGGGCCTCTCCTTTCTCTGAAATTCTTTGCAGAGTGTCCTCGGCAAAAGGCTGGAGGACCGAGTGGACAGCATGCTGGAGACCGGCCTGGTGGAGGAATTACTCGACTTTCATCGCAAATACAACGAGGAACGGATTAAGTCCACCGAGTGAGTGCAATTTTTCAATATAAGCCGTTCGTGTTGCGTGAATCCCGACGCAAGTTCAAGAATCTCAAGTCTAATCCACGTCCTATCGTTTTCTCTCCTCCCTGCCTGCACGATTTCTTTCGTCTGTCTTTTTTCTCTTTCATCACGATTTAATGATCCCGAGTCGAAATTTCCCTTTTACATTAAGTCTACTTAGTTCTACCTCAAGTTCTCAAATGTCTTCTATTGCGCTTCTTCTGACGCTACAAATGGGAAGCTATTTCCATTTTCTCCACTTGAAGATTTAATGAACTTAGAGCCACTATTAGAACCAAATAAATAAATAATAATTTACATCGTAATTTAAAAAAAAGTGTACGGTGATATATGATGTTATCGTAGCTCAGTTTTTCATTGTTGGATGATGACTGCAATTGGAAAAGCAATTTGAAAAGATAATTCGCGCGCGCACGTCTTTTTCGCGGTAATTCCCGTGTGGTTTAAACGAAGAAACGCTGATCGTAACTCGCACGCGTATCGGTTTCGCGACGGAAATTCTGTGCACGATCGATGATTAAAGATTGTTATTAATGCTGCGCCGAGCACGTGCATGCACACATACATACGTTTGATGCGGAGTTTCACGGTGATATCGATCGTATATGTCCTGATTAGCATGTTTTCTTTGGAAGGAACATCGCGGACACAATACGCGGAGTTTCCTTGTCGCAAGCAGAAAATGCGGACGGGGATGCGTCAAGGATAACGAGTAAATTAATATGCAGAGCTGCGAGCCGCTTGTCGTGATGCCTCGCGATAAACCTCTCGGCGCTCGTTCCAATAAACGTAATTCTGTTCGTTCAGCTCGCTGTTCATCACCGAGATAATCTTAATTATTCCTCGGCACTTCGAAATGTTGATAAAGTTCTCCGGCAATGTGCGAAAGGCAACGCGACAAGTGCACTCACTCCGCTACGGTTACACGTAACTTCAAGATCCTCCGACCGAGACGGATTTAATTTTGCCAATCTGATTTCGGTGATTCGATTTGGTTTAATTTGGATTGTTCCTTCGCGAAGAAGCATGTTTTCCGGCGAGACTCGTATACGCATTGTTTTCACGACTCTCGACATCTGCTTATTCAACATATCCGCGATTAAATTAAATCAAATTCCACGAAGCGAGAACCTCGGGATTATCCGAGCATCCTTTCCTATACATATGCGATGCGCGTGACTCAAGTATTATCAGAAGTCAGAAGAGCGTTACTTCCTCGTAACGCTGAGTAATAAAAGGAACTCTCTCAGAGAATCCAGATTGCGATCGATTTGCGGGAATAAAGTTTGCGCGCGCGTGGCAGAAAACTCATTAAGGCGCACGAAATGACGGACGCTTCTGTAATCGTACCCGCCGCTGGAATTACACGATTGAGTAATATCTCGGCGATCGAGAAAGCGCGCGAAGAAAATGGAATTGTTTGAATTCACGTGACGAATGGATAAACCGAATGCGTTTCGATTGAAGGAAATCGAATTTCTGCTCGTGCATTGGGAAAAATATCATTCTACTAGCAAAGAAAAACGATTACTCACAATTTGTCAGTTTACTTTCCTTCTTTTAAGTAATTTTAAGTTACCCCCAGCAAAGAATATTTTCTTGATAATAGTCTTAAAATATACGAGACAAGTTTGGTTCTTATAATCAGAAATTTTGTTTCTTTCAACCAAATCACGTCTGATTGTCTATTTCTCGACTGATGCATCCAAACTGGTTTTTCAGCGTAAGAATTTGGTTTCCTTCAACCACACCAAAAAACACGTTTGTCTCAGGTAGATCCATCCAAACTCATTATTCAATATATGCGCTCTCTCTCTCTCTCTCTCTCTGTCGTTCACACGCGTGTCGTGCAAATCGCAGCGTCGAATTCACAAGCCGGTGGCCGTGGCCGCGCGTCGGCCAAGCACGTACACAAGCGGAGCCGACGACTCGCATACGCTACCCGCTGATACAGGTCTTTGTGAATGGGACTCCTCCCTCGCTCCGTCGCGCCTTACTCGCTTCCGGAAGTCGCGGGCGTAGCGCGGCCGGATGTCGGTGAGAAAATAAAGGAAGTAGCCAACCGCGCGAGGAAAAGCACGGCCGCGCGATTATGTGAGCGTGAGTGCGATGTTGGGCCGAAAATTAATCATCTTTTAATGAGCCGTCTNGCCCCCCCCCCCTCCCTTCTTCATAAAGAAGCAAGCTGAGCGAAGAATGGAGGCGATCGCGCGCTCGCGGCTTCCCATAAACCCGGTCGACTGGACTTCCATCGTCCTCGAGAGAAAGAAGGACGCGATAGCGTATACGCGGAAAATGCAAATCGTTCGACGATGAGTCGCGGGATAATTGAAAGCTATAATTAGCGTGACGATTTATGCAACTGACGCAAAGATAGCGCGAGTGATTAGATAGAACGGACTCACGACAGACGGAAGGACAGTTAAGTGTGTCGCGTCGGCGGCGGGTGTAGTCGAGAAAGATACACGGAATCCGCGCACGACGGATGGACGAAAAGTCAAGAAACACCGACAGGAATTTACTTCCCTTTCAAATCACTGTGCGATATCACTGCGAGTAGATGCGCGTGAGTAGAATCTTAGATATAAATCGAAAAGTGACATTGAATTCGGTACATCGAAAATCGGCCATCTTTTTTCTACGGCGATACTGAGAGCATACGGAGTAAAGGAGTGAGAGAAGGAAAATGGATGAGAAAGAAAGGAGGAAAGATTGCAGGAAATTATCCTCAATAATTAGTCTAGATAAGAATACTCTTCGAAAAGAAGTCGGGGTATTTTTTGTTATTAGTAAAGGATCAATATACGTGAAAAAATGTTTCAAAAATGTTTTAAAAAGTAGGTAAGATCACAAAGGTAACGTAAAGGTAATATATTAATAAATGTCCAAAATAATGTAATTTCAGTGTTTCTATTTTACTTCTTTGATCATTTTCTATAGGTATGATTAGTATGTCGGTTTTGGGGCTTAGTTTCTAGAAGCATCAATCCTCAAACATCCTAGAAAATGGTCGTTCGCAAGGTAATATGTAATTATTTACATAAATCAAATATCTTGGTAGAGAAGTGCTACTGGTTTGCATCCGTGGGCATAAATTTTAATTTCGCACGTCAAGACGTTTTTTAGAACCCAATGACAAAAAGTTATGCTGATTTTTTGCGCTATTCCTCTATAACTTATCGGTGTATTACATACTCTCAGTCGTAGTCGCTAAGAAAAAAATGGCGCCACGGTCGTGAATCATCAGACAGCCAATCAAACCGATCCCGTCCAATGTCATTCTTCTCTATTTATATCTAGAACTTTACGCGCGAGGAGAGCCACGGCGTTATCGATCGCGCGAGGGAGAAAAAAGAGAGACGGGCGGCGGAACGCAGAGAAACGCAGGAGCGGGCAGATAGCAATTATTTTATTACGGCCGACGTATCCATCAGCCATGGCAGGTGGTAAATTATGAGAAAGTGTAACGGCCGGCGCGGAGAGCGGCGGGCGCAAATATCTCACGTGTCTCGATTAACGGCGGCCGACAGGTCGTTCCGTCGGTCGCTCGGTCGCCCGGGTGGAACTCGCGCGAAGAAAGTGCGGTCGGTGCGGGAAACTAATTATTTTATCGCGCGCGTGAACGCGAGCGCGAGAGGACCGCAGCTCCGCGCTCTCACCGCGCGCGGTGATAAATAATAGCGCGGCCAGAAGTTCAACCGCGCAAGAAAACGGCGTCGGATGCGACTTCCGCTCGCGACTTCCTCGATCCAGAAGTTCCGCCGACGAAGACGGAGACTTTTTGCAGTTGGCTTCGAGTTCGCGCGTCTATACCCCGGAGCGGGGCGCGTAAAAAGTTGCGCTTTTCTTTCAGGAGCGAGCGGGAGGGGGCTGGCGATCCAGGCGGAATTGAAATTATTTACGTGAGCGAATTGATAAAAATACAGAAAGAGACGGCTGTCTCGTCAGGCGGTATCACGTCGGCCGAAAGCGACGCGGAATCTCTCGGAGATGAGGAGGAGACCCATGATGAGACGGTGCCGCTCGGCGCGATTATTTAATCCCGCTCGCATATTTCAGGCGCGAACGAAACCTGACGTTTTCTTTTCCCGGAAAGGAATGGAAAGCAGCGCGTATTTCGTACTGCTTATGTTACAGTGTATAATGTTACCACTTTGCGCGTCGTGTCATATTATGCGGATACTGCACATTCTTGCCCAACGTATCGTTCATTCGCGTTAATGCCTTTTACGCGTAAAACTCGAATATTTTACACGTGTTGCAGCGCTGCTCTTCTAATTCCATCGCGAGAAACGTAGCGGAATTGTACGTTTGAACGTCGAGCTCACGGAGCCGCAATTTAATTACATAGATATTGCAATTGGTTTCGATTCGGGAGAGAAAGAGAGAGAGAGAGAGAGAGAGAAAATAGCGTTAAATATAACTTCACACAGAAAGACGTTTCGTCTGTATCGCGAAATTAATAAATATTATGAAGATAAATCGAAACATCGTTCGTTAAAGGCTCGTCGAGAATCAAGAACTTCGTTATTTAACGGAGCAATTTAAAGTCGCTCGCGTAAGCAAACCATCGCGTTAAATCACGGAACTCTGCGGTCGGTCAATTCTCAGTTTATTTGCCGTGTTTCACGCCGATGTAGAAAAGAGAGAGAGAGAGAGAGAGAGAGAGAGGAGAAGATATCCAAGCCGACCATTCACACCGCGTCATCGGATTCCGCAAGAATCTGATAGCCGACGCGGAATATTTTGCTTATCGTTCGCGTGCTTCCTTCACACGAGGAGAACGAAAACGCAAAAGAAGCCTATTGTTAGCGAGCGATAATAATCCGACGCAAGGTTTGCCGACCGCACGCGTGCGCACGCTCGGACTTGATTGATCGTCCTTAATTGGCTCTTCTTCCCGTCGTAAAATTTTGAAAATGCTCGCTACGTCGGACAAAATTAATTTATAAGTGGCCTGATTC